CGTGCACTTCAGCAGGCTTTCTAAGAATTTAGAAGAGTTTGAGTGAGAAAATAAATGTTTGTTTTCTCCCCGAGTATCCAAAAAAGTTCGAGAGTATATTTTTGTCAGACCAAGATATTGTATTAACAAACACAATATGAAAGAATTAGCCTTAGGTTTCAAGCATGGACACTAAGTTTTGGCATTTTGTGAAATCCAATTTATCAGGAATATTTGAAGGTCAAATTTACATATTTTTACACTAGCATGAAGGCGTTTTGACTTCATGAGATGCACATGGGATATCTTTAGTGTAGAAATAACATTTATTGTGGTCAAAAATTAAATCACATATTCTACGAGGCGTATTCATTTGAAAACATTCATGGTGTAACCACATTTCCTTATTGGTAAAAATCGATGAGAAATTGTGCAACTATTTTTTAAACTATAATCTAAATCACCCTCGTTTTCCCTGCTGGCAGCCTCCTTTTAATTTCCTCTCTCGCTTGGGGGAAATTAATATAGAGGTGTCCGCAATATAGAGGTGTCCGTAATATAGAGGTGTCTATAATATAGAGGTGTCCGTAATATAGAGGTGTCTGTAATATAGAGGTGTCCATAATATAGAGGTGTCCGTAATATAGAGGTGTCCGTAATATAAAGGTGTCCGTAATATAGAGGTGTCCATAATATAGAGGTGTCCGTAATATAGAGGTGTACGTAATATAGAGGTGTCCGTAATATAGAGGTGTCCATAATATAGAAGTGTCCATAATATAGAGGTGTCCATAATATAGAAGTGTCCATAATATAGAGGTGTCCATAATATAGAGGTGTCCGTAATATAGAGGTGTACGTAATATAGAGGTGTACGTAATATAGAGGTGTCCATAATATAGAGGTGTCCATAATATAGAGGTGTCCGTAATATAGAGGTGTCTGTAATATAGAGGTGCCTGTAATATAGAGGTGTCTGTAATATAGAGGTGGCCGTAAAATAGAGGTGTCTGTAATATAGAAGTGTCTGTAATACAATAGTTTCCGTAAAATAAAATGTCCGTAAAATAGAGATTTCCGTAACATAGAGGTGTCGTGCGTAATATAGAGGTGTCCGTAATATAGAGGTGTCTGTAATATTGAGGTGCCTGTAATATAGAGGTGTCTGTAATATAGAGGTGGCCGTAAAATAGAGGTGTCTGTAATATAGAGGTGTCTGTAATA